TGGGCGAGCATTTGAGACAACACACGGAGAGGCGAGACAGTCCAGGGTCTCAGACGCTGTCTGGAGGGGCAAGGAAAAGCCCCACAGACGGTGCTGTGGAAGGGTGTGGAAGTGGATGAGGAGGGTGAGTGGCATATATTCTGAATTTTTTCATTTTAAAATGTGGTGCCTTTTTTACAGATGAGAATATCGAGGCCCAGAGAGGTTTCAGTCCTGATGTAACACTGAGGAGCTAGAAAGCATCAAAGCTTCTGTTTCTGTAAGTGCAGTGAATTCACCTGCTGTCCAGCACGCATTCATCCAGTCATTAGAAACTTTTTTGTAAAATTTATGTATTTATTTATGCATAGAACTGGGGTGTGGGCCAGAGGTGCAGGGGGTACAAGGATTCACTAGAGACAGAGTGGGGAACAGAACAGACAGACTGAAATACACTGCTGGGAGGAGCAGCGGGTGAGACAGGAGAGGTCTGCTGTGCACTGTCTGTCAGCTCCCAAGCGGGCCGGGGATCGAACTTGTGCTGCAGAGGCTGTGGATTACTTCATAGTGTGGTGCTTAACCCCTTGAGCCACCAGGGAGGCCCCCATTGTGTTGTTTTTTTTTTTAACTAACAAGAATTCAAACCAGGTACTATAGATATTTCTTTACTCCCCCATGGCCCATTCAATTGGCCATCAGGTGTGATTCAATTGGTGGGGGTGAATCACCTGGAGGTGTCTTCATTCACAAGTATGATTCAAAGGCTGAGACCAGCTGGGAATGTCACCACTTTCTATGGGTTCAGAGGTTAGAAATGGAGCTCTCCTTGTCATTCTATGGGTGTAGGTCAGAAAGCGGGATGAGAGGTCTGCACTGTATTCCTGTCTAAGGATGGAAGTGTCAGGACTCTGACAGATCGTCACAGTCCAGGGGGATAAGACTGTTAAGGAGAAACATACACAGGGCAGTGGAGAGAGAGCCACTTCCACTTCCAAGTGACATGACAGCTGAAGCACTTTACTACCTCAAAAATGATGCTGTGTGTGTGACCTCATTAGATCCCAACGCAAACACCCTAAGAAAATGACTTGCATTGTCCTGTTTATCAAACTAATAGTACAAATGATTATAATTATTAAAAGGCAGAAGACGGAGGACAGAAAAAGGTGTGGGGACCCAAAATTCCTATACAAAATGATGACTGTAAAATGAGTTTTAAAACTTCTCCCAAATCAGCATTACCAGAATGTATTTCTTGAGATAGAATGCCTTGTCACAAATGATGCTATTGCCTTATATTCTTGCATAATAGCTAATGTTTTGTAAGAAGATGTTTTGTGATTTTTAATGAGTCTTAAAGAAATCGCCACAAAATGTGGCTAGCCAGTGGAACGGTAAACATAACAAGTGTAGAATTAGCTCAAAAGTCTGTGAAACTCTGCAAGAATCTGATGTAATGAGCCAAAATGACCTTCTTCATTTTCTATCATTTTCCCCAAGATGCTAATGTTTTAGATCTATGTGTAAATGTTACATGGGCTCTGTCATTAGGTAGATATTTGCTCCTGGATGGTAAAATGGTACATCTTTCTCCCCAATTTAATTTGATTCTATTGAAACCATGGCCAATGAGAAATAGTCCTTGGAGACAGGTGTTACCAAGTGTTCTTTGAATGTGACATCTTGTTATATGGAAAAAAATTGCCTGTGGTCTTAAAAGTATAGCCTCAGAAGGGAGAATATCAAAAGCACTTATCAGGATGCAGTATTTGTTAGTAAAATTCACAGACTCTCTGAACTTAGCAAGCTCCATTTCTCTAGTAGTTGGCGAGGCCTCTTCAAATGCTTAGTTTATTCACATAAATATCCATGTACAAAAGTACAGAAGTTTGTCATCCACCATTCTCCACCCCTAGGATGGTGCAGCCATTCGACTTTATCAATACAAAACAGTGAATGGTCTACCCTGGTTTTTCCTTCTTTCTTAAGGTATGGGAAACAATGTTTCAATTTCTTCTGTGACACAGGGGGAGATGGACCAATTAAGAAGAGGCCTCTCTGCTCTGAGCGATAGTCTAATTATAACAAGCAAGAAATGACACAGCATGAAAGCTATTGGTGTCACTTGGGTCAAAGATGGGACACTGGCATGTCACCAGCCTCTGAGCTCCTCTCAGCAATGTTCTCAGACATACTTACTGACCCCTCAATGACCCACAGAGAGAGTAAATCAAGGACCTGGGAGGGTGGGTCACCAATGACAGAGGAAATTATGCAGAAACTCTCTGTGCTAAATGTTCAGTTTTTCCTTGCTACGGTGTTTCCTAGTTGAACGAAATGCCTCCTCTTTTGTTGAAGTGACATGTGGTTAGGACTGTTAGATTTTCTTTTGGCAGACCCTATAGAGAAGGTGCAGGTCCTCATGGTCTGGAACTGGGGAATAAACTAAATGCAAAGATATGGTCATAAGCCTTAGCAGCCACAGATAAATGCAACATCCTGCCGCTATGCCTTCCTTAACCCTTCACCTGTGATTCAGAAATACCCAATTACTTGGCGTTTCCCCAAGCTCACCCTAGGTGGCATGCCACAGCATTTGGCTCACAACAGCATCCGCACCCTCAGCAGGCTCCATCTGATGCAGGTGGCGCCTATTTGTCCTTAGCACCCAACTTTGTACCTGCCCTCAAGGGCCTGCTGATATCCCCCAACCACCCCCCCCAAACATACACTAACAAAGGTCTTCCACGTTGGCATTTGTATTTAACCCCATCATAAAAGTCATCAGATGTCATGGCAAATATTTATTTATGTCCTTGCAGAAGGCTAGGAAATGCTGGAATATAGGATTCCTGCTTTGTTTACCTCTTCAGACTTCGGTGCTCAATTTTGAAGGTACTCAGGGGGTTCTCATTGAATTTAACTGAGTTCACCATGTAACAAAAATCCAGAAATAGAAAAATTTGAATGTCACCTATAATCTGTGGACAGGGCAACATGTAGGATGAGCGAATAGAAAGCCACAATCTGGAGGGGTAGCTGCAGTTCTACCATTTAATGTAAATCAGGTCTTAGCTTGATCCCAGACTCTTGTCTCTGTATGATACAAATTCATTGGGGCATGTCCAAAGGCCCCTTGAATACCTTCAAGAACCTTCTGTTGTCAAGACAGATTAGCTATGTCTTAGGGAAGACATCGCCGAGCTGAAATAGAGTTCAGACAAAGGATTTGTCTGGAGTACAGGAGTGCAGGGTTACTCTGAGTAGTGCCCATGTCTGCCACTCAGCTTCTTCATGGTCTTACCACCCAACTCTTGTCTGATCCTAGGGAGAGGGGGTTGAAAATAGCCAGAAAGAGCTGTTTCAGCAAAGGCACCATAAGGTCTCAAGTCTCTAAGTGCTGCTTTGGAGCTGTTGAGATGGGGTGGTGCACTAGGGTTGGGAATTATCCCACTTTTCATTACTCCCAAACAGCACAGACACAGCCACCAGGGAGCTGACTGAACAGCTTCAGCTCTCTTTGTAATTGTTATTATATAACACCACTCTCTAGTGGGCATTCCCAGAGCTGTGGAAGTCTGAAGGCAGCTGCATGATGCTTCATGTCCAGCAACAAGACCACACATAGGAGCAGGGGACCAGGAAATGTGAGACATGGCAGATCCACCACCACCCGGCGTGTTGCTTGCCAACGTGTAAGACATCCTCAGTGACCCCCAGGGATATGGTGCTGGGAGGATCTTGAATCAGACGGGAGTCTCATAAGAGTTTGTGAAGCAGAAATAAACCATTTTATTAGTGTCAAAATAACCAGTTTTTAACCCCTCTCCTGGCACTGCCTGGGGAATCCTGATCACGTGAGTACGTAGGATGTGTTTTAATCAGCAAGGTCCACAGCAAGGGACGAGGCAATCACTAGCAATGATTATAAGTGATTCATGAGGATTGGGGAAGGTGGTCAAAATGAATGGAAGGAGCGATTGAATGTCCGTTCTCATGAAACAATAGAAAGAGAAGGGGAGCATATTATGGGTCCATCAAGATAAGTATCCTACTGTGAAACAAACAAACAAGCTATCTCACCATAAATCAATTCCTAAGCAGTCATAGATGCCCAGAGTTTGGGTGAAAAACAGCAGAGCTTTGTGCTGGATCAATATCATCCAACCAGTCTGTTTTCTTTCTTTGACAGATTGATAGAAAAATTGAAACACGCTGTGTATTTTGATCTTGCTCAGGCTTTTGATTTTTCTTGATGAGAATTTCACTTCAATGAGGAAGATAATTCAACAGCTATTTTGGAATTCTAGTGTTTATGTAGCTAATAGTGCCCTATAACACTCATTCTCTATCTGGAGAGATGGAGAATGGGACAGACTATTGATGGGACAGGAAGAGACATGGGCAGGTAAGTAAAAAACAGTGTGAACAGGTTTTAGTGCAAAGTACTAAAATAGCATGGGTCTAGTGCCCCTAGAACTTCCTGTGGGGGTCTATCAAAGAAGGAAAACTTGAGTAAGCTTTAGAAACTCTCTTGCTTCTGATCAGAGGCAAGAGATGAGGCAAGAGATGAAAATTTAAGAGTCAGGAGAAAATATTAGTCTTTATAATTAGCACATGCACATGAATATGCAAAAGCTGCCCAAAACTCCCTGGAGAGCACCCTCATTCTCCTCCAAGTCTAATAATTTGGTCTTTGCAACTAAAGAAATGACCACAGTTTTCAGTCCAAGAAAAATGTGGAGATGGTTAGGGAAAGACAAAACAAAAAAACTCATGCCACGATGCAGTATTGTCCCAGAACAGACCTCTTGGTCATTTGATTACCATTATAATCTTCCATGGTCACCTGCAAAATCAGTCAACTTTGCAGATAGTAGCTGCCAATTCAGGCCCATCTCCGCTGTCTGATGGACTTCTCCTCCTTACTTGATGGCAAATGAAGGATGCTGATGTCACATTTGAGTTGATGAAGAAATAATGGACCATGTCACTATGTAGAATGGACATCCAGGCTTGGAGAAAAGACATGAAAGATGTGGATAAAGGCATCCCTCTCCCTCTTCCTTCCTGGTAACCACTAATTGACATTATAGTCCCAAAGTTATTTTTGTTTTGTTTATTTCATCTATGTGTCTTCTCTAAATACCACACATGAATGAAATCTATCGTGTTTTTTCTTTATTGGTTTCTTTTTAATAGCTGAAGAATGTTCCAATATATAGAGAGACCACATCTTTATTCATTCATCTGTCACTGGGCACTTAGGTTGTAATAAACATGAGTGTGCATATATCTCTTCAAATAAGTGTTTTTGTATTTTTCAGATAAATTCCCCAAGTGGGAAAACTGGATCAGATGGAACTTCTATTTTTATTTTTTGAAGGATCTCCATAATGCTTTCCATAATGGCTGCACCAATGAATTTCCTTCTCTTCAATACTTGTTGTTTTTTGTCTCCCATTCCCACAGAGGTAAGGTGATATCTCATTGTAGCTTTGATCTGCATTTCCATGATATTAAGAGATGATCAACATATTTTCATATGGCTGTTGGCCATCAGTGTGTCTTCTTTGGAGATGTGTCCGGTTTAGATCCTCTACCCACTTTTTAATTTGTCAACTCAAATTTGTTGAACCTGGCCAAAGACAGAGCAGATATTGGGAAAAAGTCTAAAAGTCTGTGTGGCCCTGGAGTCAAATATATGTTAGTGCTGAATGTATTAGAAAAAAAGGAAACTGCTTTATGTTCTGGTCTTGTAAAAACACAACTATGTCAGATGTAGGAATCTTTAAATGAGCTCCCGTTCATGCCCATCCACTTCTGTTTCCAAAGCAAAATATGGATATTGCCATAATGTTTAAGACTTTCACCATATGTTTCATCTCTTGAGGATATTAAGAGTGATCATAGGATGCTGAGTGGATTGGTGACTAAGATCAAAATATGATGACAAAGAAAAGTGAGAAGAATTGTACCAAGGAGCCAAAGAAATTGGGCCAGATCTCTCTCTCTTTGGCTTATCAAGAAGTAATTCAACTAGATCTGCAAAGCCAGCCATCATCCTTGCATCTTCCACCATCATCTTCCTGACTGCCCCCGTCCAATCCTAGACTTTGGCAGTTAGCCATGGGCAAGAGACTGTGGGGTACACCATAGATGGTAACAATGAGGAGGGGAAAGTGTCAGTGTTGAGTGAAAGGAAAACTTTCGTGATTATGTCTAACCAACTTAGGACAGTTCAATAACCCCATCTCACGTTATTACAACAGATGCTTTGGTTGGAAAAAGGAATCCTAAAACTTTTACTGAGACTGAGTTAAGGCTGTGCCTTCAACAATAATAGTACCTCATTTGTTAGACACGTGCCCATTATATTATGTAAATTAAATCTGATTTTCCCAACAACCCTTCATGGTATTTTGCTCTTTCATTTTCCAGAGAGGAAACTGAGCTAAGAGGTATTAAAGAGACTGACCATATCACACAGATAATAAAAGGGCAAAGTTAGGGTCTAAATCCTGGTCAAGGTTGTCTGATGTCAAAGCCCATGTTATGGATGGAGTGAACTGGAGTGGATGTTGAACTGGAGTGGATGATGTTAAGTGGAATAAATTGCATAGAAAAAGATAAATACCAGATGATTTCACTTGTATGTAGAATGTAGAGAAACAAAGCAAAAGGACAGGCAAAACCACACCAATAACAAACTCCAGAAATCTGATTGTAGAATTGAGTCTCCCAGAGAAGAAAGTAGGGGATGAAGAGTAAGTGGTGAAGAGGGCCCAGTGGGCTATGGTTGAAGACTGTGGGTGCCATGGTGGGGCGGGGGTTAGTATTGTTACATACACCTAAAAGATGTGCGCCTATACTCATATTCATACAGTGTTGTAAGACAATGTTACCTCAAAAAAATAATCCACATTCTTTCTTGCAACTGTCTTATCAAATATGTTGGTAGACCAAAATTATCCCCACTTTACCAAGGAAGGAATGGGGGTTATATAAGAGAATAAAAAATGGAACAGCAAGGATGAAGGTTTGAGAGCCTATGAGGCTGAAGCCCCAGAATGCATCATGTCTCCTGTCTGTCCAACTTAGGCCAGGAGCAAATCTTATTCTTTCTAATTAATATTGAACTGGGCGCTAAATAAATGCTCCATGAATACTGACTCAGTGACTCACTGATGGGTCACATCGCCAAGGGAGAACAAGAATTCTTTTCTTATTTGGAGGCTTATGTGAAACAACAGACACGGGTTTTTCTGGTTTAGTGTTTGAGCTGGAAGATGACAGAATGATCTCTTGTGTCCCTTTTCCAGCCCCCAGACTTGATGATTCAGAACCATTTCAGGGAAATATGATTCCATTTTCATCTATTTCTTTAATTAGTAATTCTGCAAGTCTTCTGTGTATCCCCCCAAATTACGGTTCTATACTGGGGAACTTCAGATTACAAAGTTCTTTCAGAAACATTACTGATTTTTAAAATTGAATCTTTAGAGAATTTTTTTTTTTTGGTTCACACATAAAAACAAGCAATGAAGTGCAATTTGTCTTCTGTTTTTAATCTTTGCCAAGCATTGAAAAGGAAAGAAAAAAAATATTTTATGAAAGTAATAAGCTTTCCTGGGCTCTTGCTAAGGGATTTATTTTCTATTGTTCCAGAGAAAAAAAGCACATTCCCCCTAATATAACTGTCCATTTGATGGCTCGTTCCAAAGCTAGACTGTGGGCCTTCATTGTACCTTCTCTAAGAACTTCAGAGAAACCTACATTATATTAATCTTCGTGTCTTCTGCCTGCAAAGAGATCACCCCCTGGGCGCAGTGGTAGCAGACATTTTTCTCTGCTTGGTTTTCAGATTCCAAGCTGATGGAAACTGTAGTTTGGGGCTTTGACTCAAAGTGACTGTCCATTTGAGGGTCAGGGCACAGGTGCGCCTGACCCAGAGGGATGAGGCTTTGAGACAGGCTTTACTAGAAGCTGACAGCATGGGGCTGACAGATGCCACTTTTCTAAATCAGGCATGAGACTTTAATCACCCATGCCTGTTTTCTGCCAGATCCTGGGTCTTCCCATGTTAATTTTGTAGGGCTGGCATAACAAAGCCATCACAGGTGGGGTAGCTTAAGCCAATAGAAACACATTCTCTCATGGTTCGGGAGGCCAGAGTCCAAAATCCAGAGCTCACTTGGCCACCCTCTCTTGGCAAAAAAGAAGACACTCCAGAGAAAAATAATTCACTTCTTCTGGCCTCTGGAGGCGCCCAGGCATCTTAATGTGTTTCTAATCTGTGTTCTACCTTCACATTTTTTTTTTTTTCTATCTGGTATTATAAGGACAGATTTAGGGCTTATCCGGATAATCCACAAATATCTCACCATCTCAAGATCCTTAATTCAATTATATCTGCAAAGACCCTGTTTTCCTTCAAGTTCACATTCATAGGTGCTGGGGTCTGAACATATTTTGGGGCCCCTATTAAAACCATGACACACTTTTGTTTTATTTTAACTTATTTTTTAGTTTTAAATATATCATAAAATATTTGCTGACATCTTTCACATTTTCCACATCTAATTTTTAAATTTGTATTTTGGGGCCTCCCCTGGTGGCACAGCGGTTGAGTACTCGGCTGCGAAGCTGCCCGCAGCCTCTGCAGCGCCAGTTCGATCCCCGGCCGCCAGCGAGAGTCCCACATGGCGCGCAGACCTCTCCTGCCACTCCCGCTGCTCCCCTCAGCAGTGTACTTCATCAGTCTGCCTGCTCTGCTCCCCGCTCTGTCTCTGGTGAATTCTCTCACCCTCCCGCGCTTCTGACTATACCCAGTGCTTGTATAAATACATAAAATCTTTTAAAAAAATTGTATTTTGTTAATTGCAGCAACACTGATTTATAACACAATGTGTGATATAGGGGTACATGTTCACACCTCTTTAGATTACCTTATTACACACTCCTACCACCAAGGCACACATAGTCCTCCACCACAGTCCACTGGAGCCCTCCCCTGCTTGCTGTCCAGCCTCCCCTCTCCCTGCAGTTAGATTCTTTGTTTTTATTTACTTTTTCCCTGTTCTTTTGTTGTCTTCTCTATATTCCATATATGAATAAAATAACTCACTATTTGTTTTTCTCCATTTGACTTATTTTGAGTAGCATAATCCCTTCCAGTTCCATCCATGCTGTGAAAAGTGGAAAATGGCAAGATTTCATATTTTTTTTATAGCTGAGTAGTATTCCGTTGTGTGTGTATATATGCCACACCTCCTTCATCCACTCATCTGTCATTGGGCACTTAGGTTGCTTCCATAGCTTGGCTATTGTAAATAGTGCTGCGATGAACATAGGAGTGCATGTATCCCTTTGAATTAATGTTCTTGTATTCTTTGGTAGATACCTAGGAGTGGAATTATACACTTTTAGAAAAACGGTAAATATTATGGGGTGAAGATTGTGTATAGTCTCCAGGAAAACAGATTCAGAATTGTGCACTGGCCAGAGGAGAACCTATGTTTCTTCTCAGGAAGTCACCTGTTTTCTGCTTCTGGATCCCCATCTTGAAGGTGATCTGTCTTTGGAGATCAATCCACAGGTGAGGCTTTGGTCTGAAAACTTTGATTCAGTAGTGACCACTTCTGGCATTTTCTCTTCTCCAGTGATTTGAGGTTGTCCTATTTCCTAGTGGCCCTCATACTGACTAACGTGAACTGGGCATGCAAAAGTTTCATACATAGGCAATATAAGAAAGAGCTAACTCAAGCTAGAATTACTTGAATTAATTGTAAAAAAGTGCAAAACCCACCCAGCCACCCTGTTAAGGACCAGCACTCACTAGTGCTGCCCATTTAGCGCTAGTGACTGCTTTTCATGAGACGGACACTCAGGGACCATCAGCCCTAAACAGAGAGCTCGAACTCAGAGAGACACAAACAGAAAAAGCAAGATTGAGAAGAAACAGAGTCAATTTAGGGAGTGGGGGAAAGAAAATCAAAAATTATAATCAATATTCTCAGAGAAATAGGTAAGTAGAATACCTACCTATTCTTGAAAAGGAAGGGTGCCTTGAAAAGGAAGAAAAAAATGAGAAGATTTTTCCTACTGGCTAATATATGATATCTGAAATAAAAATCTCCAAGAACAAGATGGCAAAATAAGATAAAAGGCATCACCTTGAAAAGGAAAATGAGAACTTAGAAAAGATAAGAAAAGAAGTGGATTAGGACAGGAAGTCCCAAATCTGAATGATAGAGATTTTAGATGGGGAAATAAGAGAACTAGAGAGAGGAAAATTATCCACATTCCTAGAGTTTCATTATGATAAAAAGTTCCCGCTTGAAAGAGATCGCAAATATAAAAAGAAACTTAAAGTTTCCAAAGCTCAAACAAATCAGCCAAAGCTCCCAAAATGGTTCGCATAGAAAGACTAAGGAGTCAGAAGGATGTCAGAGACTTAAACTTCATGGCCAGGCAGCCAATGGGACAATATTTTCAAAAGTTATGAAGAAGAACAATTTTCAATCTCGATTTTTTTTTTTTACCCAGTGGAATTACCCATTAAGTGAAAGAATAGAAAAAAAGAGATGTTTTTAGACATTTAAGTCTGAAAAACTTACTTTGTATGCACCCCTTTTTGGGATATGACTGGAAGATGTGCTCCCCCTACACTTTAAAAAAGATATGCATTGGAGCAAAGAGGATCCAGCAGTAAACAGGAGCCGAGAGAATCACCAGGTTGCTGTCCCAGGATGACAGCTGTGCAGCAGGTCAAGAAAGCAATTTCTCCAGATAACTCTCACACAGATGACTCCAAGGAAAAAAGAAACTTCTAGAGCACCTGTTGTATTTGACCTGTTGAAAGATGAATATGCTTCTACCCATGTTTATATCTGAATAATTAGTCATTAGTACATAAAACCAAACACGAAAAATGAGCAAAAACAAAAAGTCAAACAACTGTGAGCCACATGGCATGTGGATCAGCTGTGAATACTTATCATTACATTAAGATATAAAATGTAGGGCAGGCTTATACCACGAATATTGGGGGAAGCAATTGTCTCTGTGTTTGGAGATGGTTGGGGGTAAGGGAAAGAAGAGAGGGAAATTTTCATCTTCCATCATAGGAAGTCAATAGATAATGTGGCAGCTAGAAGCATTAAGAACTTTCAATGTACAGTGACCTTTAGGAAAACAGAGGTAAATAAACGCCCAAGGCAGCAGCTAGAGAGTTGAAAGTGTTTCCTTCAGGAATGGAATTAGCCTGGGGTGGGGGCAGTGGTGGACAGTGGGCTGCTGTTAGCTCTGTGGAACTACTACACTGTTGATGTTGATGTATTATTTGGATTAAAAACAAGTTAGTGAATTTTAAAAAATGAACAGCCAGATTAGATGCTCAAGTCAAAGTCACAGATAGTA